TAGATGTGTGATTTATGAATCCGTGTACAATTTTTACCCTAGATATTCAGAGAGAAAAATCAAAATTGTATAACAAGATTTGAAATTGCAAAACCATGCTTTAAAATATTTCACAAAGAAACATATTACTATATCTGTGATTTATGAATCCATCTTAAGTTACTACCCTTGAAATGTAAATTTTTGGAAAAAAAATCAAAAGTATGTAACAATATTTTACAATTTAACTTGGAAACTGTAAATTCAAATGGTCTAAAAATCTTGCAAATGTTTTACGGTTATCGTAAGCATAATAAATCGTTAATCAAAATTTTAATCTCAAAATTTTGTCGTATAAATCTAAAATATGCACATTATTAAGAATCTTTATTTGTGGTTTATCATTTTATTATTCATATATTTTTACAATTGCTAATAGAAACTAGCTCAAGAAAATGAGAGAATGAGGCAACTTTTATTATTGTAATTTCCATTTTCCCGAAAATTTGAGCAAAGAGTGATGTTGCTAATTAAGTAATTAAGTATGTAGTACCTACGTAAATTTTTCTATGAAGCAAAATGGTACAAATTTTAAATTTTTCAAAACAGTCTAAATATTATTACACATATTTTTTTTGTAAATTTGACTTCCCAACGGAATGTTTTGAAAATATTGCCCGCGTTTCCTCGATAACGCCAACCGTTTTTTCCAGAATAGCCCATTGAAATATCGCAATTTTTGGAATTTAAAAACTTATTTTAAAACCGATAATTCTAAAATTTTGCACTGTAACCATAAATACGCTGTATTTTTGGAATCCACGTCGAGATCTATATCCCAGATTTTTTTGTGGCTCAATTTTTAATTTTTGGATTTTTCAATTTTTCGTTTCCTCGATTCTTCTAATTCTTACTTTTTGTTTTTCATTTTTTCGCTTTTATATGACAATTTTTTGCCTTTTCACTTCCTTTATTTTCTCAATGTTTCTTTCGATTTTATCATTTTACGTGTATTCAGTTTTTCAAATTTTCAATCTTTGATTGAATTGCTCGATTTTTCTATTTTAAAATTTTCCAATTTTGCAATTTTTGGAACATCAATTATCCGATTTTTAGATTTTTTATTTTTAATATTTTTATTTTGCTATTTCTGGGTTTTGCACTTTTTCCATTTGTAAGTCAGTTTTTCAATTTTCAATTCAGATTTTAATTCAATTTTTAATTTTTAATTTTCCGAGTTTTCATTTTATACTTTTTATGTATTTTTTGCTTTTTAAGTTTTACAGTGTTTCCATTTTTGTTTGTTGGATAACTTGAAAAATAGAATATTTAAAAATCGGTTTCTAAATATTGTATTTGATTATTTTATTTTATAACACTAAAAAACTGGAAAAAATTGAAAACTGTCAATATCAATATCAATACTTTATTGGTATTATAAAAACTTATAAATACAGGTTTACACAAGTAAAATACAATAAATTAAACCAATAAACTATTAAAAATGAAAACCTGCCATAAGGAAAAACTGCAAAATCGAACAAGTGGAAAATCGAAAAAATATAGAACCCTCAAAATTGTAAGGTTGAAAAAATATAACATTGAAAGATCAAAATATTGAAATATTAAAATATGTATCGAGAAAATGAAAAATTAAAAATCGAAAAATTGAAAACTGAAAAATTGAAGAATCGAAAAACTTTTAAAATCCAATAATTGAAACATGGAAAAACCTAAAATCGTATATGAAAAAGTAAAAAAATGTAAAAGTTGTAATTACTACATATTTAAAATGAAAACTAGAAAAATTGCAAACCAAAAATTGAAGAAACGAAAAACTGAAAAATCGAGAAACTGAAAAATTTCACGCTGAAAGTAATAAAAATGTTATAATTTTTCTTTTATAATTAGAACATTGAAAAGCCGAGAAATTGGAAAATTAGAGAACATAAAAAATCGAAAAAAAAATGCAAATCAAAAAATTGGGGACATGGTAAATCGTTAGTCAACATTTTTTCATTTATAGCCTCCCAAAAAATCATAACGTCAATTTAGAATTTTCCCGAATAAATGTTGTTTAAATGTTATGGAATCACATACTTCTGCATATGTGATTTATGAATCCGTGTACAATTTTTATCCTAGATATCCAGATTTTTGGGAGAAAAATCAAAATTATATAACAAGATTTTACAATTTAACTTTGAAATTGCAAAACCATGCTTTAAAATATTTCACAAAGAAACATATTCCTGTATGTGTGATTTATGAACCCATCTTGAATTACTACCGTAGAAATATAGATTTTTGGAAAGAAAAACAAAATGTGTAAGAATATTTTGCAATTTAACTTTGAAACTGTAAAACCGAATGCTTTAAAAATCTTGCAGATGTTTTACGATTATCGTAAGATATAATAAATCGTTAATCAAAATTTATCTGTTTATGAATCTTTATTTGTGGTTTTATCACTGCATTCGTATTTATTAGAATAGCTTATCCAAAGTGGCTCAAAAAAATTTGAGACTGTATTATTGCCGAGTAAGTAAATTTTTCTAGAAGGCCAAAATATTACTACAGATACTTTATTTGTAAATTTGATTTCCTAACGAAATATTTTGAAAAATATTGCCCCAGATTTAAAAAAAAAATGAATTTCAAACCGATAATTCCTAAAATGTTACTCAGGGACCGTAAACACTTTATTTTTTAAATCAGCGCGCCGAGATCTACAATCTCAAAAGTGAAATTTTTCTAATACAAATTTCGATCCACTTTTGACCATTTTCAAAATTTAACTAAATATTTTCTTGTAAATTTTGAGCTCTAGAACGCATTTCCAGGATCGTTTCTTCGGTAACTCCAACCATTTTTCGAGAATCGTGGATTAAAATTCGCAATTTTTGCAGTTTTTAAAAAATTGTACTTTAAAGCCGATTGTTCCATCAACCATAAACACGCTATTTTTTTTTTTTGGGAATCAGCATATGAATCTTTTGAGAATTTTTAGACGACTTTTTCAAAAATGAAATTTTTCATTATAAAATTTTATTTTACTATTTTATTAAATATTATATTTTCTTTGTTCTGTAAATTATTATTATTATTATTATTATTTTAAATCTGTTGTTCAGAAATCACATAGCAGTTATGCTCATAATTAATATATTTTGCTAAAATGTTCATCATTATTATCATAATATGTTGTTATACAGCTGTTGCTAAAATTTACACAAAGTGTAAAATCGTAATGAACTTTTTCGTGTTTTTTTTTTGCTTTTTTTATATCTGTTTTTCTACTTTTTTCATATACAACCAAAAGATGTACCAAATTTCCTTTAACTCTAGCAGACGACATTAACAATGATTAATCATTGTCTGATTAAACGTCATGACTCAAAAAAATTTAAGTTTTATAGAAATATAAATACCCAAGTAAAAATATTGCTCAATCATTTCGCTGTGGAACTTTTCCACCTATCTTGTACCAAGAACGGCAAGGTATTTTATCGATACCTTCTTCCAGTTACACAAGCAACTTTTATCTGTTTTCTTTGATACTTTGATCCACCTGGCAATGCGTCATGACCTTGACAAGAAACAGATTTTAAAACAATGACATCCACTTTTGCGTGTCATCCAATAACTGTTGACAACGATTTCGAAAGTGCGTATTTTTTTAACGCCACAGCGACTAAAATAATATTTAGGGAAAGGTACCCACTTTAAATACACAAACGTGGTTGGTCACCAAGAATGAAGTGGTGACAATTCACTTTTAACTAGGGTCGTTAACAAAAGAATTAGGATCGATTTAGATACCTTTAGAAATGTTTACAAAATATCCAGTTGTAGACATGGGCGGTCCTTAGGGTAACAATAGGGGCTTTTCTTCGAACGGACCTAATCGTATTAAATATCTCTAACTACCAAAACACCTCGTAAGAGAGGCTTAAGGGCGTCGGTACAATAAAAATATTTTCAAATCGTATCACCAAAATAAAATTGCTAATTATTTTGATATAAGTACAGTTTTCGAATATTAGTGTAAGCGTGATACAACTGCCCAATTAGCAACGAAAAACCTGAATAAAACCCAAAGAATTAGCGTGGTGCTTGGTAATCTAACAAGGTATTTATTCGTAGTCAGCACTCGTGTTTGACAGTTTAGTTGTTAAAAGGCAGGAAGTGATTGAACGATTCACAATAGTTTCCCCAAAAAGAAATATCAGCCTCCTTGTCACCCATTTCTGGTCAGACACAAAGAGCCTTTGTTGGTCTAAAGTATTTTATTATTTTGAGAAAATCGCTGCTGGGGTATTTTATATTGTGTTTGGGTTTTATAGGCATGTTTTAAAATATGAGATGAGTAGTCATCGTAGTGCAATTTACTACGTAATGTTTATTAGATTATAAGAATGTACGATACATGGAACAGATACCAAGTGATTCAGTGTTTGTCGATAATGGGTTGGATCACTGAAACAATATTCTACATATTTATAATAGATAAAGGTATCAGATACCTACAACCACATATTGATAGTCTAAAATGTTTAATCTGAACTTTAAATTAAACAGACACGTGGAAACGACAGACCAACTTTTTCGTGTTCTATAAAGTGTGAAACTTTGGAAAAACATGAAATGACCCATTGCCTATTACCCCAAAATATTTTGCATTCGATTTTCGATATATATAACAGTTAAATGTATAGTCAAAAAAGTAAAAAAATCCGTGATAACATTTATTATTCTATCCAACTAAATTCCAATAAAATGGTGATTAATTAGTTAAACCAAGAATTAATAGCAAAGAAATTGAAGCATTTACTAATCAGATACAAATAAATGGATATTGGATAGATAGGCAACCAGTTAAACTCAACGGTGTCCAACGTATAGTATATCCACACAAAAATCGTCCAAACTTTTTTTTTTCTCTTCTGATTTTTAAAAGTGCGGTGGGATCAGTTGGAAATAAGAACGATCTATACCTATCACTTAAAAACAAAAACAAATTACTAGAAATTATTTATTCAGCCAAATACGACAACACAACTAAACCACCCCTGGAGTAAAAGTCCAAAAAACATTACAGCGTAAATGAATCCAATACAAGTTTTCTAAATTCATTTATCTCCATTTTTTGCGCTTTTAGAAAAAGCCCGAACTATCTCCTTCGCCATGACAAGTACAATCGTTCCAGAAAAATCGAACAATGTGACTTGACGTCGCAAATTCCTCGAGTGCTTTCATTATTAAGACACGAATTTCTTCCTTAATAATACACTTTGAACAATACATGCGGCCAATAATTAAAGTCACTTAGTCGGTTTCATGTCTGTGTCAGTTTATCACGTAAAAATGCCTAATAATAGATTGCGCTTCGACTTAATTACGTGCTGGGTTTTGTGTATTGTTAAAAAATTCGCCTAATTTGCAACATAGTGCGAGATCTGACTAACTAAATCTAAAAAACTAGTTGAACACTTCTTTTTGTATTTGTTGCAATTTCTTCGCATTCTTCCCCATTGTTCAGCTCTCCCGTAATCCTCTAGAACATAGTCGGTCGAAGTAGACGGCCTAAAGCAAACCAAGTTACTGTAAACTGCATACTGTTTGCCTTGTGAACTCACGTCAGTAATATATGCAACAAATCACCTAAAATGCCTGTGTGCTGAGAACTGTAAACCGATGCCTCGCATATTGCTCTCAATAAACAAGGTTTTCCGGGATGGCCATGTCTGCAACATTTTTCAAAATAATTTTGAGTTTTTGAAATCAAATAATACAAAAATTGACACAAAGCGCCCTCTGTGTGAAACAGCACAAAAACAAAAGGGTTTCCTACCCGATCCATCGATTAGTTACTTACGATTTTATTTTGAATTCCAATATGTCGTAAAAATATTTTCTGTCCCAAAATCTTCGGTTCAACGATCTTTCAAGAAGGGGTGGATACGTGTACTCCGTTTCATTTTGGGGTAGCACATAATTCGCTTCCATATTATACGAGAAGAACACGTTGTACTCGGGAAGTTCCAGCGGTAGCGAAATGGCCAAAAATATCTAAAATCTGAAGTTATTTTCGAAAACGGAGCCGCAGGACTTACTCCTATGAAGGGTCCTTCAGTCGCGCTATACGGGTATCTGATAAAATTTGGTATCGTGATAAAGGAATCCTCGCCATTTAGTATTTTCAAATTCACACTGACTGTGATAAAAAAACACACGATTTTTTTTGGATTCATGACAAATTTTAACATTCTGTGTGGAATCAACGGCACACCTATAACTGAAACTTTACTTTATTCCGTTCTGTCTTTCAATTAAGATGTTACTGTTACGTATCTAAGTGGAAAATTAAATAAAATGACAGAGGCACATGATACTCACTAAGTAACATGTTTATTAGTGAGTTCGTCAAACCATTGTTTGGCAGTTTACGAGCCAGATTGACAATTATTGCCACATTTTTATTTAAATTCGTACAAAAAGCACATTTGCATTGTGAGAATCCATGATAATTTTTATTGTTCACTTAACATATACAGTTTTTGAAAAAATGTATGACGTGCTAAACAACGATATTATTTGTTAAGTGTGTACAGAGCTAAAAAATTATTTGGCCTAATGCTTAGTATAAATTAATAACAGATTTTTTAAGACATTCTGTATCAATAGTTTTAAAATATTACTGATAAAAAATTGTCATTTCAACACTTTCACTTGCCAGGATGTTGTTATACCATTACAGATATACCTACGTGTAAACAACTGATGAACTTAACAGATATACATGTAACATTAAATAGATCATTTAATCAATGTATGTAAATAACTGATGAACTCCACCTACCCTGATTACCATTGCTCTTGATTGCGTTTCAAAATTTTGTGTATTTTAAATATAAACAATAAACTAATGAGCCACAGTGAAAAAAACAAATCAAAGGTTAGCTATTTAAATAACAATTTTAGTTAAACACATATTGTACATAATTTAGTTTAGCGATAGCAATTTTCGTTCATCGTAAACCAGTAGTTGTAATGTTTAAATTGTTAGCAATTTTAGTCACAATTGCAGATAAAAAACCACGTATTTAAAAGCCGCGCCAAGTTGTCCTCCAAAGGTCAGCGCATTGCCAACCATTTCCATCAAATCCGTAATCCCCATCGTTTAAGTTGGTATTTCTGCCCTTATCACCGTGACTTATCGCTGTACCTGAATTCTGGGCTAATTTTAGCACAGTGCATCACACGGTAATTTTTCGATCAAATAAGCTTCCCATTGCATGATTTCTGACATGTTTCATATACCGTGATTTCTAGGTTATGTTATGCTCACCCTAACCGCAAACTTATCTCACCTATTAAGTACTATTGATTTATCTAATCTGATTTACATTTCAGTTTTATGGTAAGATCGTTTTTCCGCATCGGTGGAACTCTCATAAAAATGGCAAAGCCCAAAGTGATTTTCGTGCTGGGGGCTCCCGGAGCCGGTAAGGGAACGCAGTGTCAAAAAATCGTTGACGTGAGTCACCACCCCTAATCGTGCAAACTAAAATGTACTCTTGTGGTTGTAGACCTTCGGGTATGTTCACCTGTCGGCTGGAGATTTACTGCGGGAGGAGCGCGCCAAACCTGACTCGAAATATGGGGAGTTGATTGAGAACTACATCCGGGAGGGAAAAATCGTGCCCGTCGAGATCACCTGTAGCTTGCTAGAAAACGCGATGCAACGATCCGAGAAGAATAAATTCTTGATTGATGGCTTCCCCAGAAACCAGAATAACTTGGATGGGTGGAATAGCACCGTAGCGAATAATGTACACCAACTGTTTGTTTTATTTTTTGAGTGCCCTAAGGAGGTTTGTTTTGAGTAAAACTGTGAGAATTAGTACGAGTATGGTTTCCAGGCCTGTGTTGAGAGATGTCTGGGGCGCGGAGCCGCAGGTAGCGGACGCTCTGACGACAACATGCAAAGTTTAGAAAAGAGGTTCAACACTTTCATTACTGAAACACAACCAATTGTGAAGTACTACGACCAAAAAGGGCTAGTCCGTCGTGTGGATGCTACAAAATCCCCGGATGAAGTGTTTGCAGAAGTTAAAATACTTTTCGAGAATATTGGGGCAGGGGGCGATTTTTAACCAGTCATTTATCATTTTAGTTAATTGTACAGTACAGAAAGGATATCATGGGTTAACATTCCTCAATCATTTGCATTTAGTCTAGTCATGGGTTTATCTATGTGTCACCGCTTGTAATTGTGACCCTAGCGACTAGTACCCTGTACTTAAATCAAATTTGGGACACCAACAGCTTTTTCCACAAGTTTACAAGGCAATAATTTTAAATTTTTATTTATCGTGGCAACTCAGCGACGCATGCGCAGTAGATTGCTCAATGTACCATGTCTTAAGTCCTGTTGCCTTAATAAATTTTTATGAAAACGACTTCGTTTATTACACCGATTTTCCAATCCAACTAATTAGATCCAGGAAGCTAACGGTGCAATTCTTGTTGTACCGGCTGCAATCACTCTTCTTACTTCCGTGTTTCTCCGCCTCTTCGTAATCTGACGGCAAGTCAGTATTGTTGGACGACGATGGCCTGCAAATCATTTTTCAAACCACATTTTAACCATAAGGCACGCTTACGTGAAAAGAATGTGGATAAGGTCCCCCAGGACTCCATTGGCGTATTGAGTAGTGTGTCGGGCCGCCTCACAAATAGTACGCAGGAGACAAGGGCGCCCCGGATACCCATTCCTGCGATATACAGAGTGTTTCAGAGAAAGCGCGCGAAAAGTTATCATTGGTTTAGAATAGTAGCTTTGGGTTGGTTAAGCACTACTACTGCAATTTGATTGGTTTAACCACACTTACGATTCCATTTTGGTTTCCAAAGCTGTGTAAACGAGTTTCCGATCGATGCGTCTCTGGATTAGTGGCGGGTACTCGAAGTAGGTTTCGTTTCCAGGTAGAGGGTAATTCGCTTCGAAGTTATAGGCTAAGTAGGCGTTTTTGTTGGGGAGGTCGAGAGGTACAGCCACCGCCAGAAACAACTAAAAAATGATAAATGCTATACGTGTTGAAAAAAATTAAAAGGTGGGTTTTCTTACCCCCATGCCCGTCCCTGGTAAGAAGTGGAATTTCCAATTTGGCACCCTGAACTTGTCATCAGCCACATTTCCGCACACAAATATCAAAAAAATGGCAGCTAATTTGCAAATAGCCATGGTGAACTCACGAATTCATGTCTAGGTGTAAAGATCACAGATTAAAGGAAGCTCGGACTCTTTAAGGTGCTAATTGGAGCGGTTTACTTAACTGTACATAAATTTCTTATTTTATTTAACCGTGTTTTGTCACATCCATTGTCGTTTTTTTTACTTTACGTCAATTTGGGTGGCCACGCACCTCTAATGGAAGTCTTGAGAAAGATGCATTAGTAAATGGAATCTAATGCTATAAATTAGCACATTTGTTTTAATTAACTAGATGGTAATTGGCAAGTTAACGTTACATCGCTCATTTCGCAAATTAAAACGATTCATAGGTTTGCTATTTCACGGTGGATATCGATGATCACACAAAAAAAATAGAACTTCAATAGAAATCGTGATCGAACCAGCGAATTGTACTTTCACAGCCGCGTAGCATAGATGCTAAAGTTGTTTACAGTTTTATCGAACAATAACCGCGATTGTGGACCAAATTGGCGAAACTGCGGTACACTAGAAAATAATAATAGTAATAATAATGATAATTTGAGTGACGCTCCTAATGACCTGCAAGGTGAAAACCACAACAAATTACTTAATTGTTATTGTTATTACAATTAAGCAACGGACGACCCTGATGAGTCCATGATACCTTATAATTTAACACAATATTTACTTGTCCGGATTATTCCAATTAGGTTTCTTCACTGTCGATTTTACAATCTGCGTAATATATGTGTGTCAATTCAGATTTATTACTTATTTATGCGTAAATTGGTAGTAATTTATTGTCTGTCGAAGTCTAACACGAAACATCACCTAATTATGCAAAACAAAGAATACGACGAATTTCCGAAATACCGAAAGTGAAGGGCTTGACAAATGAACCCGTCGCACAACCAGAGAAGAAATCGCCAAATTTGCTTAATGTAAACCATAAAAAAAATTAACAGTGTGTGTATGTTGCAAGTGTTTTTTTTTTTTGGAGAATTCAAACTTGATAATAAATATTTGGTGGTTGTGCAACGGACTGAAAATTCTCTTGTATTAAGTTTAAATACCTGAGGTCATCAATGTGCATCTTGATTTGCATAAAAACATAACGGAAAAGTAGTTGACATTTCTTAGTAACATAAAGAAAGAGGAACAGATGAGATTTTTTTTTCTGGATGGGTTCTGGTGTAATAAATAACGACTGGTGTAATTAAATCAGAAAATATATTGAAATGACTACACTGCATCCTGTTAGATGGTAGTTAATTGTTATCATTATTGAGCTTTTACTCTCCAATTGACGTCAGATGCATTAACTGTGAAACTGTGTGAAACAGGATTGCGTGCGCTAGACAAAGACACAAGATGCGACAGAAACTAAATTAAAAAAAAAAAACTTTTACACAACACAGTTGAATTTTGAGACAAATTAAACAGTCAATTTGATAATTTTGTTGAACTTTCCAAATTTGGAGTGAAAATTGCGCGATTTTAAACACTGATACCCAAGATTTTACCTCCTCACAGTTTTCGAAGCACGTTTTTTGAGATAAACTTATAGAAGACTAATTCTGAAATTTTGAATTACGCAGTTAACAATAAATGGATAAAGCTTGTATTACAACCGCGATTTTACTTAAGTTACCAAAAAGTACACTGCTACAACGTGACCCATGACTTTTTTAAGGTTTGGGAATCCCGAAACATAGAAAATCAAGTTTCTGTTTTCATAAACTAGGTCGGCATATTTACAAATAATTGCAATGATCGCCATAAGTAGGTAATCGATGACCCCTATTATATAATTTATTACTAAGATAAAGGTATGCATGGGTGTGTATTTGCACAAATGTAACTATAGTTAACAAAAGCTTTTGGCAAAGGTCAAGCGATAGCAACTTTGTATTTATAACATAAATTTTTGTAACGTGATTAAAATTAACATTGACCTCTCTACCGTCCAGATTAGACAACGGCCTTTTAGAAAAACGCAAAAATAGTTAGCAATAATTTATAATCTACACACGCCGAACATTCCTGACCTTTACACCTGCCAGAGATTTCAAGGTAAGGGAGGCGTCTTGACACACACGAATAGTTCAAGTAAAACAAATATATTTTTTAGGATTCGTATGAAACGAGAAAGTATAGGACCGAGTAACAATGTTTGAGTGAATGTCATTCTAATATATGTTAAATTATCTATGCCAAATACGTCATGAGTAACATTTTAATAAACGGCATCAATGCAAACGCCTACGTGTGGGGTCATGAAGAGTTCATTTTTTTTTGTGTCGGGCGTTACAAAGCACATTCAACAATCTTGTATGATTTCGGAGGACCCGGTCCAAAGCTATCGCTAAATGAAAGTTTGAAAAAGTCAATCCAGCGTTACAACATGTAGAGTGAAAGATATTGATGTACTGAGTGCACTGATGCACCTAGGTCACCACATTGTAAGGTAAATCTTGAAAAAGAGGGGAGGTGGAACTAATTCCATCATCTCAACTCACAATAGTCTAGTACATCTCTAGATTTTCCCCAAGAATAAGTGCCAGTGAGAGTTTTATTCAAATGTGCTAAACACAAACTGAATTATGGCCATTTCGTCAACAACAGATTGGTCCAAAATTCGTTACATCATGTTTGTTGTTTTTTTTGTGAGTGCCCTTTTGGCTTCCACAGTCGCCACGGGATTAACGACATCGGGAAAAGTAAGATTACTTTAACTAATAACACTAATCAGTAAAAGGTGCCAATTGTGAAATTCAACAAAACGCAAAAATACGTTGGTGTCATTTTTTCCAAAACTGACTAATTATGGTGACACTCGTGGTGCAAAAATTCAAAAGTTTTGACGCGAAGATACACTTTCTTAATGTCATTGTTAATAGTAGCAGTTGTAATTCATGGTTCCTGAACTTGTCCGCTATTATCTGCGGCAGACACAATTTAGCGAAATTTTACGCTTCTATATTTTACTAAAATCGATATCCTCTCCTTTGTTCTAGCATACTTTGGTTGTTCAGTGGCCAATTTGTACCCATACACCACATAAACGAAATTTATTTAGAACTTTTTATTTCCAACAGCGTACCTCGATTAAGGATGCTTAATTGAAACAATAGAACGAATTAAAAAGTTGCATAAAAGTAACGATTTGCATTAACGAGACGTCGGCCAATAAAAAGTGCTGCATTCCCATTACTACCCATTATTTATTCCAGTAGTTAAACGTTCACTCTTACTCAAAACAGATTAGAAAGGACTGTCTTATGAATTATGACCGGGTTGTGTAATTGATGCACTACTCGAATTTTTAATTTTAGCAAAAGCGTCAGTTGTTTCGAGAGCACCTACTCCCTCAACGAGGGGGCAGAATACCAGATGGGGCCTTCGAACCCAACCGCCTCATTCTGAACAAGTTCAGCCAGAATGGGTTATACAGTCCCGACGGGTACCACCTTGACCAGAGACACCCGGAGCCACATCACACCCCCAAACAACCTTTCCCGAAAACTGTGAAGGTAGAACCATCCAGGGTGATTTCTGTGATGATATTTTCACTTATAGGTGCATTTATACCCAGATGGTAGATACGTCGCACCTCCTGGGCAGTACCGTGGTTCTCAAACCGTAGACACGACCTACCTCATAAGAGAACCCGTGAACTTTGTTCTTTTGCCGCCTGTCAAACACTATACACCTTTTCCTACGTTTCCGCATTATTCTCTCAAGATCCTCAGGCACTTTAAGTACGAGAAAGGGAATAACAAATTTGATGGGAAGTGGAATGAGATCTCGGGTAATGATGAATTACCAATGAAGGTAAAAATCGTGGGAGAGGTGGAGTTTTGTAACGTCGTTAATACGCTTTTATGTGATTGTTATCTGTTCTCTTCGAAGGGGCTTCCTATAAATTGCATGCTTGTGGTGCACAAAATTACCGCAATTAAAAGCCAGGGTCGTTTTGTGTTAATTAGGCAATGTTGGAACTGTAATATTTATTGGCTGTTGCGAAAATTTGGTGGCGTCTTTGGCTGAGGAAGTATGATTTAGTAAACTGCATATTTTGCAAGACTGGTAGAACTCTGTCTGCCGATGTAGTCTAGACCGATTTTTGGTGGGAATTTTAAACCGTGCGCATGTGCTGTAATCACAAATTAAATTTCCAGGATTTAAATTTCCCGCCACACTGACAAACCAATCTATACTTGATTTAAAAATTAGTAGCAATTATAAGAGACAGATAAGTTTTATTTGTCATTTAAGCCTAGTAAAACTATAACTTGGTTGTACCAAATAAGAAAATAAGAATTTAACTGTTTAATAATTTAATCAGATTAATTTTTACATAGATATGTGGTTGTACAGACTAATGTACACTTGTTTCTTGATCTCTCATTCTTAAAAATCAAAGTAAATATGCCTTTGTATCACAAAATGCTATATTTGTTAATTAAAAATCACAAAATACACGATATAAATTACATACTGTAAGATAGGCAACCAGTAATTCGTTATTTGATTTAAAAAAAAAAACCAATTTTTACATTCTCTACGTGACTACAAATTACTGTACACTTATTTCTTGGTCTCTTTTTGTTAAAAATTAAAAGCAAAAATGTCTTTTTGCTATAAAATAATCTTTTTGTTAAATATGTAAATCATAAAATAAGACATAAACAGCGTATTGTAAGATAGGTAACCAGTAATTCACTTTGATGAAATTAAAATAATCTAACCACACCTAATCGCAGCGCGTAATTGAAAAAATTTGGTGGTTGCGGTGGCCGCGTTTACCAACTTAGTTAAGCTATGGGGAAACAGCAATTTTTAGAACAACTAGTCGTAATTTGTTTAAGTGAATGTTGTTTTGTTTTTCCGTCCAGGAAATTAATGTTTTCCTTGAAAGGCCAAGCATTTAAATTGTAGTTCTTAGATCACATTAATTTAAATCCTGCAGTCGTTTATACCTTGACAGCAAAAAAACAACATCGCATGCAACAAACAAATAGCCATTTAATTAAACGACAGACTTAGCCTAAAAACATTCACAAGCCTTAAAAAACACGTATCTATCGGAAAAATGGAAATACACTTTCGCTGCATAGCTTGAACTGCCAGTGTTTTTGACCCACTGAAAACCTGCTTATGGCATTTAGGGAAGTACTCGTTCCGGTGGTCTAAATTTCAAGGTCGCGTGCAGAAAAGTGTGTTGATTGGATTACGCTAATTAAAAGAAAGGGATGATGCTTTCTTTGCGCATAGTTTTAAACAAGAATGTAACTGAATTGCGCAGATGTGAATTAAAAGATTAGAACTATACTGACTTTTTTCAGATTTTGTCCGAATTTGCCCCTTATTTGCGCAAGATACACGAGACTGACTGAATGGGCATTTGACAGGCCGCACGAGGAGGCACGTGGCGACGTTTACGAAGTCATTTAGTTGTTATTCGCATGTTATAATTACCCTGTATTATTAATTTATACGTAAAATAAATTTTCTTATACTTGCTCCACACGCAGTCTTTTCTACGACCAGCAAGTCGATTTGACCTGAAACTGGAACGAACGAAATCGAAAGGCATTATGAAATATGCTTGAGGGCATTATATCAAATTCGCAGTTACGGGTAGCTTTTATTGAGTAATACAATAAACTTGAATGACAATACCTTTTTTTTAATACAACGAATAAAAAAAATATATACCTGTGAAACAAGAATTTCTACTACCATTACTATCACGAAACGAGTAAGTAATTAAAATTGGTCCAATGGGTACCGAGTAGGGAAAGTGATATGTGACCTATTCAGGCAACTGCCAACTTGTGGTCATTCGAGATTTGCCTGTTCTTGTGAGAGTGTTTGCTCAACATGTTTAAAGTAGTTCTCTTAGTGTCCGCGTTTCTCTTAGTCAACTCTCTCACAATCGTAAGTACTGTTAGTAAACCCTAACGAGGTACCAATTTTGGGGATTTTAGCCTCAAGGGTATGTAGGGTATGCCCCTGTGAAGCTCCGTCAGGCTGAGAAAGAGCAGCAGCAAGACTTAAGTAAAGTCCCGGGAGTCCCTGGAGTGGACTACCCCTTGTTCCACTCGGTCCCACCCACTGGCTTCTCGTGCAAGCACGTTCCGGCCCTTCCTGGTATCTACGCCAACGTTGAGACCGCCTGCCAGGTTTGTACCACTTTTAGTAGCACCCCCAGATGCTAAATTTTCTTTTATCAGGCTTATCACGTCTGCCACGACGGCCGTGAGGGTGAACAAGGAGCTTCTTTCCTCTGCACAAACGGGACAGTTTTCAATCAGGCCAAGTTCACTTGTGACTGGTGGTACAACGTAAACTGCCACGAAGCCCCAAATCTGTACAGACTCAACGCAGACCCCTTACTCAACCCCTACGCCCCTAAACCCAAACCCGAAGAACTTGTTAAGTTTGTCCCAGTTCAAAAATATAAGTAATGTAATTTATTGTAACTAAGTTATTGGAATAAATGGTACTGTTTTGAATGTTGGTTGCTAAGTAACCTATCGATTTGACGTGTAGTCAAAATGTCGCTCACGTGGGAAGATAAAGAAGTCCGTTTTGATATACCTTTTACGTGAGTTTTAGAACTTATCAGAGTCGATTTTTACGGTGATTTGTAGAGAGATGAGGCTCAAGATTGGGGAGAAAATCGTGGACCGGTTGGAAAATATCGAAGATACGAAAGGCAACGGGGGTGACAGGGGGAGGCTTATTGTGACAAACATAAGAGTATTGTGGCACTCCGTGACAAGTCCTCGGGTTAATCTATGTATGTTAGATATTTATAAAAATGCGTATTATTCTGTGTATTGCAGCAATCGGATTTAACTGTGTCGTGGCTATTAGCACGAAAGTTGTCAATTCGGTGAGTCCTACACATCCCCCGTCTTTGTCTAACTCGTTGTTTTAATTAAAGAAACTGAGAGGGACAACGCAAGCCCTACACATGTTGACAACTTCAAATCGAACACGTTTTGAGTTCATTTTCACTAATCTTGTCCCTGGAAGTATGCGCCACTTTACTTCGGTCATGGGAGTCCATAAGTATTTGAGTGTGATTTATTGAAGCCCATACCATCTCTGTATTTTAGGGCCTATATGTCCTCGAAGCTTTACCGAGAGCTAAAACTTCGAGGGGCCGTCATTCACAACAAGCAGTTGAAAATATTACCTCTAGAACAAGTCTTTTCTACTCTCCACGGGGTTTGGAACCTTTCGAGCGACCAAGGTAGTCTTGGTACCTTCATAGTAACGAATGTCAGACTTGTGTGGTTCGCCGATATGAACGAAGCCTTTAACATTTCGTTACCTTACTTACAAATAAACTCAGTAAGTCGCTTTAAGCTTCTATGTTTAGACTATACGTCGGTTTTAGATTAAAGTTCGCGATTCAAAGTTTGGGACGGCTTTAGTGGTTACGAGCTCGGAAATTAGTGGGTCTTATATATTGGGTTTCCGCGTTGATCCTGAAGAGAAGCTGCGCAACTTATTCAAAGAGTTGACGTCCTTACATTCCATCTACAAAGGCAATCCAATTTTCGGCGTGGAGTATAAGTGGTGTTCGAATAAAGTTGACGAGCACTCGGATAAGAAACTTGTGGAGGATGTTGTGGAAGTTGAAGAGCCTCGAGGGGAGTTGTCGAATACATTGGCGGCTTATTTGGCTGACGAGGGTCATGCTAAAGACAGACCGCCGGTTTATTCACCCGATTTGGGTCTAGCGATTGAGAGTGTGAAGGACGGTTTTACTTTGCAGAAGTTGTGGGAAGTTATACCTTCGTAATTAAACACTTGAATAAATACTTTTGCCTTTGTTCTATTTTACCATTTCAGTACATTCACCTATTCTACAGTGTACTTGTAGAAATCAATTGAATCGTATAGGAATTTTATAAATAAGTTGGTCTCTGCATCTAAACATTTCAGTCGTTCAATTGCGACATCTATGATAAATAGAACACTTAGGATGTCTACAATAATCTAAACATTTAGTTACATATCAATCAATAAATATCAAAATAAATAAAAAATTAATATATTAAAAGCTCAATATGGAAGTAAAAAACAAATTGCAACTTTCGGAATCACATATTTTAAGTAAAATATTGAAAGCAATTTAAGAAAAGTTACTAAAGTCGGTCTTCAACTTAATCGAAGGATGATGATTCGCTATTGGTTTATTCACGTTCACTCCATTCTTGATTTTTATGTGATTTTGTTGTTTGGATCTAATAGCACTTTCTAATTTCGTTCGAAGATCACTAGTTTGGCTCATCAATTTCTTGAATTCCTGCACAACAACCGTTATTAAGGTAAAGAAAGTTAGCGATGCGTGTTTACCTGGGGATACTTTGGTCCAATTTTCATTAGCCTTTGTAAACTGATTTCGTGGAGATTTAATGAGTATTTATTCGCTGACCTCAGTGCTTGACCTTCCAGTAAATAACTAATCAATATTGGAACCAACAGTGTGAGCATTTGAATTCCTGCAAACACAAAAAATTAATCTCGCGCCATCCTAACATAAACACGTGTAGATTAACCACTTGCCTTGCATTATATCTCCTAAGCAAGCCACAAATAAGAAAAACATTACTCAGAGCAACCCCGTTTGTACTACTTACGATTTTGTGGTTCCGCTAACTCAATCAGCGATTCCACGGCAACTATAGTTTCTAAGGTAACTAAAAGCTCTCCATCCGAAAAAATATTCCTCGCGGCGTCCGAGTACAAAAATTCTACGAGTCGTGGTGCCAGCGTGTGAATGTAAGGTGTAGCGACGGCTCGGTCCGGATGCGAAAATAAGGACTTCAAAGTTTGCACACATTTCAACCTCACCTAAAAACATCCATGAGCTTTTTCAACCTCACACGTAAAGACTTACCGTGGAATTGGAGTTTTGCAAACACTGCCTGAAGTGATTTATACACGGGTATTGCAAGTTCGGTGCAGTGACTACTCTTGAAGGTGCGTGCAAGACAAAGACGGCGATAGCCAACATCATTGTGACTTCGTCTAATTTGGTTTCGTCGCTTCCGGTTTTCGCTAAATCGATGATTTTAGCAAGAGCGCTTTGTAGGAGCTTTTGCCAAGTATCACAGCTTCTTGGGTCGTTGCAATATCGGTCGGTTGCTAGGATTTTCAAGCAGTGTAGTGCAGCTTGAACGGATGCATTGTTGGCGAGGATTGTGACGTCGTTAATGTTTTTAGTGGCCATTTCTTTGATTACTCCGGTTGTTAGATATAGGACTGTGGGTAGAATAGAAATGGCACCTTGTGGGGAGCACAGTTTGTGTAAGTTTTCCATACAGGATAACGAAGCGGCGATTAAACGACCTGATTCGTCTGGTGTTTGCATGATACGCAAAGAATTGACTATTGTGGAGTTTGGTGATGGGCTAAGAGACGGTAATTGGCGGACGAGGAGGCACAAACATACTTCTAGCACCGAGAAAACTAAAGATTTGCCGGGTAAAATGTCGCCGCATTCACCTCCTTCACCCAACAAATCGATATCTGCAGTCGAGCTTTCCTGTTGGTTGTTGCTCGAAATTTCGTTAAGTTTGTTCTTTTTCTCCTTTTCTAGCTTCTCTTGTGCCGCTTTAATTACTTGTTTGAGAACTTCCATACATAACAACTGACATGTATGGTTATCTCTCGTCAAAATAAGGCGGTGTAAGACGTTACAAAGCTCAATCCCTAGAGAGTTATCAACTAAGATCAGCTCTCTAGCGTACGTAGAATCCAACAAAGTATATAAAGCTTTCAAACAAGTGATTATGCTTTCTAAGGGTTCTATCGATCGGGGACTACACAGGGCCTCCATGCAAATCCCGAACAAGAGATGGAACTTATCGCCACAACTATCAACAGCATTATTATTGGCATTATCGTTGTTGTCTCTTTCGCTGCAAAGTTTATCAAAACCTCCCGAATTAAGCCACAACGCAGCTGCGTGTAAAATCGGTGGCCACGAAGCCATATAATGCGGCCTTGAAGACTCCATAGTATCATTTGTATAAAAAGCCCCTCCATCGTGCGGTAATTGACTAGCGAATTCCGCCGGCAGCGACAATAAAGCGTGATCTTTTAAAGCCGCCAACCAATGCCGAGACAAACTAACTAGTTCTGGTTGAACCAGCGTTAATAAGTTCTCACCCTTATACTCAAAATCTCCGAATTCATCATCGTTATCGTTGACAGTCGTCACTAATTCAAGCGCCGTATTACTCTCATTACCCTTCATAGCCACAATATACACCTCCGCCCAAGCCTTCAAAATCGCCAACTTCTCCAACGTCGCCAAACTCTCGTTATACAACTGCGTCGTATTCGTCTTATTCTGCAACTTAGTCAACGACGACACCAACAACTGATGCACCCGACGCAAATCGTTTAAATCTCGCGCCACATTCGAGCCAATCCAAGTCGAGCACACCTCACATGCGGCTGCGGTAACATGCGAAGAGGTATCCGGAGCGAAAGCCGGTCTTAAAGCAGCCCCAACTTGCGCTTGAAATTGCTCTAGTAGCAAATGACCGGGAAATTCCGGCTCAGGTACTTTGGAGAACTTCTCGATTATGTCTTGGAGGGTCTTTAATCCTTCCAATCGCAGCGGATCCGAGTCGCTAGTAGCAGCAATAAACGCCATCCGGATCAACTCCGACAAATGCAAAACTAGAAAGTCGGTCTTCCCCTTGTTTAATTGCATCTCTTTAGCTTGTATTAAGTCGAAGTGGGTGATTTTGTTGCCGCTGCTTTCACACGCTGTGATTATCTTGCGGACGCACTCAGCGGCAAACACGCGCGTCGGCCATCTTGGTTGAACCGCGGGATGAGTAGATGAGTCTTCTTCCGCGTGGAATTCGGCTTGGTCGTCGTCCGCTTCGGGTTCGTCGTTTTCGTCTGCGTCGTTCGTGGACACGCTCTGACCATCCTCCATGTTTGTACTATCTGTATCGAGTTATTAGAATGTCGGCTAATCGTGTTTACTCACCTGTAGCTATAGTAAGAACGTCCTTGCATAAACCCAACCACTGGGATAAATTATCGGCGGCTAGCATCTGCAGCATACTAATCAACGTGTCGTGGATATCCTTAATCAAAGCGGCGTCCGTTTCTGTGTCAAGCATACTGAAAAATACCCCTGGAAGACCGGTTTCCGTGATGAGTAACCCCTCGACTGTGTTATTGTCGCGACTTTCACTAGCAAAAGTCATTGCGTGTTCACATACTTCTTTGGCTTCTCGTTGTGCTAACTGACGCAGACACGAGATAGCCGCCTTTCTTAGTAGTAGATGGTTACTGGATAGCGTCCGCTGAAACTCAAATCATAGATCTTTTGGGTTTTAGGAAAACACTTCACGTACGCATAACGTTGGCACTAGCGACGACAAATTAACATGGCGGGGAGCAAACAAGTGTAGTTGTTGCAGACAACCAGTGGCTTCCGCTTGCACTAAAGGATCTTGGTGGTCTTGCATTATCGCACAAGCGCATAAGAACGAAGATCGGGCCATGCATATACTAGACGTGTTTCCTTGTAGCTCCGGTCCGATTGTAGTAATCAACGCTGATAGAACCTTTCCGATGCATTGGTGCACGTCTATGTATGACTGCGGTACGTTTAGTAGTAGTTTCAGCGCTAGAGAAAGACTCGGTTCCACGTAACCCCGAAACATCGGACCTCCGGAATCCGCTATTAGGGCTAGAGCGTGCAAGGACCACACTTGTACCACCGGAGACGTTTGATCTTGCGCTAGTGCCAGAAGGATAGAAACGCTGGTGTTCAAGTGTTGACTGGAACCCATTCCGCCGACGTACCGGTGCAGGCACCCAAGAGCCAGAGAGTGTCCAGTCCGACTAGCTACATCCCGGGCTGACTTAAGTCGGTCGAAGCTCGTCTGCGCAAGCTCAGCTGTGAATTTCGGGTCGGACACCACTTGCGCCATGCGACCCACAGCTTCACCAGCCGCGCACCGCAGAATCGGGTTCGGCGAAGTCAAAGCCCCGATTATAAGATTAGCCACTGCTTTTTTGACATCTTCTTGTCCGATGCTCATTTTCGCCTCCGTCAAACCTTTCAAGCCGCTCAACAATGCGGTGAAAACATTCATCTGAACAGCCTCTTGGCGGGAGCTTTTGGCGTGTTTGATACACTCGGCGAAGTGGTCTATCATTTGAACGCGGTGTTTATTCGCGACCCTGGGGAAGATTTGCCCGAAGAGAAGCACGGACATGTCGATGACGGCGACCCCTAGCGGTAAAGGTCCTGGGATTGTCTCGCCCTGTAACACAATACCTTTCGTTTGTGAATGACGTAAGGGTTCTAAGAATACCATCGAGATTTGGCGGTAGAGGCAACACGGGTCGTGTTCCAGGGCCCCCGATCCGGCAGCGCTGTTCGGCTGCAACTGAAACAAGATCTTTAGGTTGTGGAAAAGTGGCGAGCGAAGAAGCAACGAAAGTGGAGTCAAGCAAACGGGTAAACAAAATGACTAAGACCAACACGAGTTACTCACATGTTCACCGTCAGCCCTTCGATTAGGCTCCATCTAAGGAAAAGTGTTTGTTACATTACCTCCACAACGATAGAGTGCACGTTAGTTAGAAAAGTACATTAAGCATTATATACAAACGTGTCGTGCGGTGCCGGCACTTACCTGATCTTCGATAGTTCGATGGTCGGTTTCTTGTAGCCACGTTCCCAGAATCACGGAATCGTCGGCATGGCACACAGTTCGCATTTGGGACGTGGTTGTGTTCGCTTGGTTCTCGGTAAGAGTGAATTCGGCCACTAACATCCTCAGGAGATGAGTATAGGAATCTAAAACCGCCGGTTACACGCATCCATACACATTTATACAAACCCACTTTCGAAAGATTGTGGTGGAAGCAACAGAAGAGTCTCGTATAAACGTAAGCGTACCATGGCAGCCGGAGCCTTCAGTTGTTGGCCGTAGCTCTTTAATATAGTTGATATGCTAGAACCAGAGGGTTAACGGGACACTAATTAATAACTAATTAGGACATACTTCGTTAACATGGCTAAGGCAGATTCTATAGGAGCTAGTAACCTTCTATTAATGTCATCAGTAACCAATTCATGACAATGTTGCAGGAAGCTATGCATGGCCGAGAGCGCCCCTGCTCGTCCCTCTAGGGTAACTTGCCACGTAAAAGCGTCTCCCCGAGCCTTTTCCGAGTCCAGTTCTTTCGTAGATCTGGGGAATGAGTTTCGCCATAGGAGTAGCATCCGTGGTAACAATCCTCGTACGACGGGTACCCCCAACGTCATTATAGCACCAATCAAAAGCCATCCAGCTTGGGTCCTGTTGAGGGACAAGCGACTATTTTGGCTCGCGCTTCGTAATAACTCTTCCGCGGTATTGAAAATGATTTTGCCTTTAGTGTGAGGGACACCAAGCGGCGAAAGGTTCACCCCTCCAAGAACTGCGGCTAAAGCGCCACTATATCCGGCTATAGCTTCCGGAGACGTTCTATATTCTTCGATTCCGGTAACGCAACGGTCTATCAACGGTGTTATTTGACTGGGGACAGCCACGCAGATGCAACGTAAACACCAAGCGGCCGCAAGTCGGGCGGCTTGACAAGGATGGATCAAAACACTGACGGTGGCATCAATTAAATCTACAACAGTGGGTTAGCTAGGGGCTCTTCGTCCTCCAAGTACTCACTTAGGGTTTGATCCGTGATAAGATCGTGCGCCGTAGTTCCTAAACTTAAAACTAAACAACCAATTTCCTGCAAGGCACAGACTAGGAGATGCTGACTGAAAAGCGTTTCTTGGTTGAAATCTTTAGCGTTCTCGGGATTAAAATCGATCGAGTTCATTTCTTTAACAATGATCTGAGCGATTTCTTTGCAAGCGGACGTTTGTGCTTTCTCTCCCAGCATTTTCCCCAAGACGCTCCTCAATATAAAATTTATACACTTCCTTGAGTAAACGGCATCGACATGCGAAGAAGCCGCTTTCGGATTGGCCACTAAGTACAAGATGTGTGAAAGGAAAGCTTTGATGTTCCTTTCGAGCCAAACGCTTCCCAGAATTTGCACGAAAATAACATACGCCTGAAAGCATCAGGTGAGATCGCGTTGATGAGAATTTGATTCGATTTACGTGAGTTACTCCGACTCGGACCTCCCGGTTGACACTGGAACTACCCTTGATAATCTCGCCGGTTCCTTTGAGGAAACCCACACCTCCGCGCAAGAACCCTGACATTAGAATACCTAAAGCTTCGTCTAGGGAAACTAGTTTCAAACCCTTGAGTTGCGCTGAAATCCGATTGTTATCGCAAGCGAGCGAGGGTACGATGATATTCTTACATGTCTTTTCGGGTTTCTGGTTTTGCGTCATGGCGATTAAAGCACCGAGGAGTTTAGCGACTGCACATCTCACCTCGTAGTTGGAACCATCGAAAGCCCGAAAACACAAAGTCGCTAAACTCTCCAATTCGCTAGTGTAGAGAAAGGGTGCATGGTTTAACATTTCCAAAAGACACCTAGTCGCAGCACATCTCACCGCCATCACCCTATCAATCAAGCAGTGTCTCGCCGCTTTATAAATGTCTTTGTGAACATTCGATATCGCGCTACCCATACCAGCGCACACCTAAAAAACCCCATCAATCACCTCTCCGCCGACCCAACAAACCTCACCTTCTCCAGCGTCAACATGATTTCTATTCGAATTTGAGACTCAGCACTTCGGAGTGACCGCGTCAGAATTTGCACGGTTTCCTCGTACGAACGACCCATCATGCGTCCCAATTTCTCATACATGGTTCCTACGCAACAAATCGCCGCCCTGTAAATCACCTTTACATTATCATCCCCCTACCAAAACCCAGCTATTACAATCTCGTCGGAAGGAAGCTCGGAGAGTCGTCTTTGTTCTTCAAGATATCGTTGCATTTATTCACCGTGTCGAAAAGCAAAAATGTGTCACCAACTGAAAAAAGGGTGGCGAGAGAACGAGCTATTAATTTGCGAGTTGGAGGCCCCGGAGATTCTTGAATGTGGTTCATTAGTTGTTCCACTAATTTCTTCTGACAGCCTTTGATGTCGTTCTGAAAGGCGACCGGATGAAGAGGCTGAGCTTGCGACGAATACAATTGAGGAATAAAATGGACCAACGGAGGATGTTGTAAACAAACTAGATTACACTGCCAATCAAAAAATTTAAGCTCACGGAGGCGCAAAGGATTTCTTTGACGAGCGGATTAAAGAGCCACAAGAAATCGGAGCAAGAGATTTGTATTTAAAAAAAAATCCGACTTTTCCGAGCGAAAGCTTGTACTCTAGGAAAAGTAGGTCTCCCATTCCAATTTTGTTCGACAATCTCCGAAACAACTGGACTGACTGTCGTGAAATCTGAGAATGTTTTACGAATAAATAAATATTAATGTAATTGATTAATACTTTCGTTCGAAGACAAGAAGGAAAAGAAATTTTTGAGGTGTGAAAATTCAACAATGCGCATTTGAATGTTGCGTTTTGCACGATTTTCCATCTGAAAGCATTCCTTTTGTAATAATTGCAAAACTATCGATTGTTCGGCGGGCTTTTTGGCCGGCAGTGTTGATATTTCGTCGGATTTAGGTCGCCCGAAAGGTCCACTTTATCCCTGTCGATTTAGAGTCGACTTACCTTTTGTGCCGCCACTAAAACTTTGTCTAAAAATCGAAGCCATTCGAATATAAAAACGGGTCTCTTAGCGGGAGGTATCTGGGCTAGAGCTTCTTCGTTTAAAGTTAAACTATGCGATAACTCCATTATCGAAAATATATTAAAATTCTTCAGTCTCCTGTAAAAGCAGAAAAATTCACTTTGACAAAGTCGTAAGTTCATTAAAGTTGTATCATCGCCCGGGCTATACATTAGATAAAAGTGCTATTTCCCTCGGGACCGCATCGACACGAATTCGGCTAAAATACAACCCCGGCGTCCCTTCAAAAATATATTTTCGGAAATTCTCTTTCTCTTCTCCTAATAAAATACATCACGCGTTACCACGAGGCCACAATTTATTCATTACATTGGGGTTGCACGCTCGCTCGCACCAGCCCTAAATTTCAATTGTATATATTGTTGCGAGAAACGTCGCATAATTGGACACAGGTGTACGGTTTGCAAAACTAATTTACTCGGCTTTTAGTCCCTCCAAATATCGAGAACAGAGCAAACAATCGCGATTAATCAACGAGGCGAAAACAACATTCATAAAATAAGATTCGAGCTGCATGCATTTTTTCGTAGGCGGATTAAAGCAAGATTGTGCCAAATTAGAGATAACAAGAGCACAATTTAAACAACAATGACACGCGACAGGAAAATAACTTCATACCTAGTTCGTGGTTCCATTCTTTTTCAAATTCGTCCCAATTAATTATCACATACTACCAACATTACTTGCGCGATTTGAATTTGTCAACTAAAGGAAATGATAAGATGTGTTGCGGAAAAACCGACTGCATCGTCTGGAATGAGACAAGATAGCGCATGCCCTTTGCTTAGATCTTAATAAGGGCTTTGCAACTCGCCATCGAGTGGAGAAAATTAGCAAATTGCGATTAATTGCTTAATTGAATTAATTATTTTGCAGGGGCGAACGCAAAAAATGGGGCACTGTAGGCGTGTTCGTCCACCAGCTTGCCAATTTGTGCCCGTACATGACCAATTTAATAATTAAATTTGCGTCAGACTTAATCAGTGTGTTTTAAATTAACTAAATTGTGACTCACTAAATTCAATGTTTATCCCATACACCAATTAGCAAGCTGTCACAGATTTCGCGAAACGTGCGTAAGACCACAAAAAATCACACTTACAACAACGTCAGCCACTTTCATTGACACACCCCCCGATTAAAATCAATTCATTTTTTTAACGCCTACATACGTGTTAACTGTGGAAACGTAAACAACAAATTAAAAGTGGGGTAACAACCCCCGTTTTCGACGAAACGCAAAAATGGCCACTTGGGATCGAAAAACTTACAATTGTAGGGTTTCTTTAGGGTGATTTTGATGTTGTCATAACTATTTTGTGGATTTTTGATGGAAAAAAGCACTGAAAACAAGAAAATACACAAAACTTCGAGTGACACACAAACCGATGACAGATGAACTAACATGGAAGTCGATCAGTGCTGTCGCTGCCAACCGTAACCACCATTCCCCTAGAGCAGAAATTCGAACTTTGGCTTTTACTTCATCATTCTTTAATTACAACAATCAAATACAAACTTCACAGATAAAAATGTAGCCACATGGTTGCAAATTTTTATTCACTATTCAACAAAAGTTACAATAAATGAATTAAATGTATTCCATATTAACAAAACAATTACCCATTTCTATTACATTTATTGAAAATTTAACAAAAACATTTGAATTCGAAATATCCAAAAGATAAATTTGTTACACAGTGTAATCAAGATACTCAACGTTTAGCTTCTAAATGTTCAGAAAATTGATTATTCTGGATAACCAATTCTCAGTTTTTCTTGGAAAATCTAATCATGTATATCAGACATGCCGATATAAACGTCTAGAATTATATAAATTTCGTCAATTAAATTACGTGTAGCGCTCTCCTCGGTCGTTCCTAGCGCCATTAACGTGAATTTGCCGCCCCCAAATTGGGCACAAGCCATAGGCGGATTCTCTTGCAACATAGTCATATCATACTTAACACCAAGCCTGGCGCATATGTAGTTCAATCCCGCTAGATCTCTTTTTTGAAACTGTTCTTTAAAATCGTCATAACTTACGTGCTGCTCTTCCATAAGTTTTCTAAACATCTGAGTGATATCTTCAGTTTTTCCACTTTCTAAATTTACCTTCAAAGCGCTAGCTAGCCTACAGTATTCCTCTCTAGCCTTATAGTCCTTAACAGTTAACTTCTGCAAATCAGTTATACTTCCTGGAGACATATTTTGAATTTTGTCTAGCATATGTTTGGCTGCCAACTGCTTAGCCCGCTTTTTGGTGCTAAACCTTCCTTCAGTAATCATTGAAAATACCTTACATTCACAAGTAAATATACGGCACTGAGGTTCCACAATAGATACATGACTGAAAATAGGCCTAATAAATTTAAGTTTATCACAAAGTTCGTTTAGGGCTCCAATAAAATTTTCAGTTGGTTTTGAAGTCAAATCGATCTCCTGAGGACCATCGTTATGCGATCCTTGCTCTGCAAGTTCCTCCAGAGCGTTGCTAGCAGCACTCTGTTTAGCTTCTTTCTTCGTATGCCCAAAACCGACTGCGAAAACGTTTGCAACTTCAACTTCACAGTGAAACGTATTTCCATAATAAATCGGACCGTCACTGAATTTATAATTAGGCAGACTATATTTACACTTTTGAGTCAATTCCAAAAGGACCGTTATTGGCGTTTTAATCTTCTCTTGTGGCATGATTTCTATTAAAATGTATGTGCGTTGTTTGAGATATAACTTAGAACACTTTTTCTACATAAAAACATACATTGTTCAAAAAAATGTGCAAATGACGACTAAGCAGTGCTACCATTTCATCTGTTACGGTCAGGTTCCTACACGCCACATTCGTAAACATATTTCAATATGGCGACGGATATTAATCTGTCGCCATATTGAAATTACCTACATGAATAGGTAATATTTACAAATTTTCAGAAAATTTACGTTCACTCTTGTGTTTAGAGAAATGAATTTTACATTGATACAGGATAAAAGAGTTGAGCCATTAAATGGGGTGTCTTAAAATAAGCTCTCTAGCTTAATAGCGTTCATCGTATAGCCTAGACCCTACACTGAAATGAAAAAAAAAATAGAAATACAACTGATGTTTTACTGGTTGCCTATCAATAACTAGAATAAAACCATAAAACACCAAAACTTCCACACTCTCTCAGTATAACAAATTAAATGCAAACTCCATATATTTTTTTTTAATTCCAATTTGAATCAGTGACATCACAGTGACAAATGTCATATGACACAGAATCGTTAGCGCATGCCCAAGTTTTGTGTGGATCTGCTGATTTATAATTTTAGATAAATAAATAAAACATATAAAGAATAACGATAGGAAATGTCTTCATTTCGTGGACAATTACGTGTATTTTCGATGATTGTTTGTGCGGCAGTGCTGCCAATCATGGAAATGCGAAAGACATGGGGTGAGATGGATGTTAAAAGTGGTTCTTTTCGATGTTTTATATGTTATTCAGGGTTTGAAATGACCCGTTTTGCTTTCGGTGTTAATATCTGGGTCTTAAGCTTGTTTTTATCTAAATGAGAACAGATTTGAAGTATTACTGGCTGCCTATCTACGATGTCTAAGTCAACGTGAACCAGAATGTTTTGAGTATTGTATTCTTTACGGTATTAGTGCTAATTTATTTTTACAGACCTATGAAGGTCCAAAACTCTACATAGTCTCTAATAAACATAATGTAGAATTTGTTTTTCAAACTTGTGTAATCTAATATTTACAAACTTCAGCCTAACAAAACTAATGAAAATTTTGACAATATGCGGTTGTCAGACTCAGTAAAGCATCGTCAGAATTGTCTAAGTATAATTTTCTATTATTACTGTTGTTTCTCTTTCAAACGTACTTTGTGCTGCACATTTTCAAATGTTTTGTATTTTCTCTTGTTCTCAATTTTTCTTACTTAGCTTTTTTTCTTTAGCTTCCATTTTTTGTCACATTCTTTTCACTTTTCAGGTAAGTATATGAGTATTTCTTTAGTTTTTATACTTTGTTGTTTTTCTTTTGTGTTTTCAATGTCCAATTTGCTATTTATTTCTCACTGGTGGTGGTGGAATGGAATGAAAGTCGTTGATATATATATATATAACAGTTTTATTTTACATAGTCTATGCCGTTAAAAAGTATTAACATTACATCCAACAAAAAAGAAAGTAATGGGTAAAGGAGGCTCTTTCAATGAAAACATCTGTAGTAAAATGTGCATCGCATGGTATAATTTCTATTTGATTGAAAGCAAAGCACACGTAAAACACACTCAAATAACTAAGGCCATAGACAAATAAAGCAAGCTACCGTTATCGTGTTGGTCTAAGATGGTTTAGACTATAGATATGTTTATTTTGGCTAAGTGGCATGGCCACAATATACCACCATCATTTACCTAACAATTATTATACCGATCTATAACAACACGAAATAAACAATTTTCCTATACTTTACATTATAATACACTGATTGACCCAAGTTTGGTTCAATGAGGGTCTTTAATAGTTAGTGTAAGTTCGCAAACACGAGAGAACTAATTTCGTCAAACCAATTTTTATGGACGGGTTGGCTCTACAAGCTTCAATCTAAACGAGGTGTAAATTCTAACAATTTCATGAAAATTCGAAATATCACACAGCTTTTATGGATGTAATTAAACTAGTTAGTGCATGTTGGAATTGATGTCGGAATTTTCATGAAAACAACGCTATACAAATGTTTTAACAAATCTCAACATATATAACTATACAATTTTGTAAAAATATAATTTTTGTCGCTAGACAGTTCACTTTGAAAAGTTCAAACGTGCTTGCTGGGAATTTATAACAAATACTGAGTTTCTCAGGATAACAATAGTTTAAGCATAGGTGTATATTTAACAATGTGTTTCTAAAATTGTGCCTAGAGTGCATCGTATAAGTGTAGTCTTAACCTAATTACAAATATCTAAAACTTAGCTAAGTCATAAATACATGAGAGATATGTTTATGGATTCAGTCATTGTTGAAATAAGTAAATTAGTTTACTCAATGCCCTCCAACTCAGTGACAGATACAAAAATGGTCCAGGTTTTAGCAAGGTATCAAATCATAACGTTTTCGCTCCATCATTAAATTGTAAGCTAGGGGATATTCAAATTTCCCGCTCGAATGTATTGACGTTTCAAAGTGGAGGGAAAGTTATGGCGCGAAAATGTTTTGATTTGCTTGTACACACACCAGTGCGTTGCTTTGCAACCATTACAAACTACTTACATACATACATGATAACATACAACATTTAGGGGAACTTACGATAATAATTGCTAATTAGTTAAGTGAATTTTGGTGTAGTAGCTTAAGTAAGTGCATTAGGTAGGGTTGTTGAAGGACATTGACCCTGTATAATTTTACAAAATATAATTGTAGCAAAATAAAATACGTTGTTAAAGCTATTATGATATGCATACAATTTATGTAAGCCATGACATTTTAGTAAAGCATTATGAATATAACATAAAAAAGTTGTCTGGCTGAGTAGATGTCAATAACTCACATAGGAAGACATTTTAAGATTGTACGTGATTGGATGTACGAAAACAAGATGGATGAAATTTTAATGTACACACTCCGGTTAAAACATGATCTGAGCAATACTTTAGAAACGATAATGGAATGACATTCGACTATACTAACCTATAAATAACAAACTAATATTAACAGTCAACACTGATATGTACAGAGTGATTATTTTAATTTAACCAAATAGTTTGTGTCCACTTGACACTTCATGTCGATTAGATTACTTATTAATCTTCATTGTAAAAGGATATGTATTGAATTGTGCTTACTTTAAGAACAGTCTTAATGTCACGATGGTGTAGTTAGGAGCTTTTGAATAATTTTTGTTAAAAATAATATCGAAACTAATAAATGCTGAGCTAACGAATACGTTTTTGACGAATTTGGCTCTATCTGCACAATTTCCACTTCCGCCATCTTGAAAATTGACAGCAGCAGGTGGGATATGAAGTCTGGATTACGAGAATTTATCCTATCACTTATTATTTCTAGCAGTTGGGCACACTGCTCCTGAAAACACAAAAAAATCACTACACGTCGGTATTCTGACCGGATTTTTTTTTCTTTATTTTAAATTATTAGCAAAGGTCCGTATTCTCTACAGATAATCTAATTTTCATCGTCTCCTGTTCCTCATGGTTCGGTTGATATGTATGCAATTATGCTTTAGTGGTGTAGCGGTATTCAAATAGAATATTACAACACATTAGAAGTTAAGAATAATGCAGTTTCGCTGTTAGCATTGTCATGAATTTTCATTCGAGTCTAAACGTTATTAAATTGAAAGCACTTGAAATTTAATTTACGAACAGAGGAGCGATTTACTTATTGTTTGGTTTATAACAAAACAAAGGACAGTTTTTTGTAAATTCACTTTTACCGCGCCTGTAGCATATCGGTTTTTTCTTACAGAATGTCAACCGTTCAAGCTAATATTAATGCTGAGTCAGCGTTATTTGTCGCTACTTGGCCGGCTAAATTCTCCATTATTGACCTATTTTAAATAAAATGTGCGTTGTTTGGTTTGTCGCCATAAAACACACTGTTTTTGTGTAAATCGGTATTTTTTTGTATAAATAGTGTCAACCGTTCCACGTTCAAATTAATGCTGAGTCAGCGTTGTTTGTCGCTACTGAACCGGCTGAATTTTGCGTTATTGGCGCATTCGATTCGGTTTCAATTTTGCGCAGATCTATGCCTCGTCTACTAAATTAATAATGGCGAAATAATGGCCGTAGTGGCGGTAAATAAAAGATAAGTGTAACGGTAGTACAATGCGGTCACGTACGTAACTAACCTCGAGCGGTTTACTTTAGCCTAACTCCGTCCCTGCGTAAGTTTGTCCCAATTGTTTTTACGTCGTACCTGTGTGTTCGAAGTTTCTTTTAGTAACTTTGTTTTCTTATTGTATCATTAACGGGCCTTATATTTTTTACTGTAGCTTTGCAACTGATATAAAAGGTAATATCGTGAAAATTTTAACCCCATAGCCCGTAAAATAAAATAAATGTTTTTACGACTGTCGTAGTCTTAAACGAGCGACAGCGAAGTTTCAAAAAGAGACCAAATTTCCATTTATTATGGCGCTGTCCATGAACCCTCCAAATTGATAAACAGGAAAATTATAATCACACGTGTGGGCCTTGGAAAGATCGGTTCGTAATTACAAGAGTACACAAAGAATGATTTCGACCATTTTTCATCGCGTAAAGTGATTTAGGGTTGTAGTTTTTGTAAGTGGCACACTTTGTCACGATAATCGCTGCTGGTAAAACGTCTGAAATTTATTATTTATGGCGAAATAAATCGGCCCATTGTCCTATAATTGACGAAATCAAGAAGTTAAATTCTGCTATAGAGCCTTGTTGACTGTATAGTGATGTGGTAAAGGCCGACGCACAATAGCTTCATGAAGCGAACACTTGCCAACCCTTCCACGGAGGGAAAAATAAATGGTGAGTAGGGGTAGAGCGCTGGTTAAGCTATTGTGCATATTGTGTATTGATCTTGAACCACAAAATTCGGGTAGGTTGAGGTCGACAATTACAAACGCGTAACGAGGACGTTCCTCTGAGGAAAGGTGGAGCTTCGAGATTATCCTCGACTTTTAAATCTCGCAGCTACATCGAACTTCGTGGATTATCGTCGAAATTTCGAAATCGAAAATCAAACTTCGAGACTCGGAAGCCGCAGCTTCGATACTAACATCAAAGCTTTTCTGCACAAAGGTCGCAGGTTAACGAAATTTCGACATTAATATACAAGCTTGCACATTTCAAAGTTGAAATTGTGGGAGGAATGTCAAAGGTCCAGCGTTTAAAAATTTAAAACTTCACCATTTAAAATTTGAAAGTTAAATTTAACTCGACGCTTAAAAATTATTAGAGTAAAATTAAAAAACGATGAGTTGCCTGGAGGATTTGAAATTCTCGCTGCTCCAAAATTAATAGCCAAAAATTGAAACGCGAAAGTTTGACCTTAACAGTAATGCTAAAACATCGATCTTTCTAAAATGTAAAAATACAGACCATGAGATTAAAATTGTCTACTTCAAACCCGTAGCTTTAAGAATTAAAGCTCGAAATTTCACGGGTATTGTCAAAGGTGCAAATTGATGTCGTTTCGACGCAAACTTGGAAATTCACGATTCTAACCTTCAAGATATTTAACACTGAAATCGCAGAGCTTCGAGATTCAAAGTTTAAAAGTCGAAACTTCCAAAGTTTCTACATATTTAAGACCGAACTTCGGAAATAATGCCAAAGACTTGAAATTCAAAAAGGAAGAGCTTGAAGATTTATTCGATATTTTTAGGTTCATTTGAAAGCTTCGAGAAAATTTTGAAATGAAATTCAGAATTTCAAAATCAATATCGACGCTTGGTGGTCGACAACGGGTGAACAGGGGCGGATTTGGGTTATTCTCTAGTCTGTTTGATAGTTCACTACTACTGGCTCAAATAATCTTAATAGGGCCACAAAACTTTATTAATATACAAAAATAGCGTCTTCACTCTACAGTGATGTCAAAAAATCGTAAAAATAAAAACGTGCACAAAAATTTTCAAATGTGAGTGGCAATGGTAACGTAATGGTTGCGATATCGAACCATATTGTATGTGTACAGTATTGGCATGTAAATAAAAGGTATTATTAGAATAATTTATTTAAGCCTACAGAAGATCGATAGCTGTTAATGTGCTAAACAAACGCCAAATACTTGTATTTACCTTTTCTTTAGTTAAACTTTCCATGGGAGACAGCATACTATAATCAACTTCGTCCGACAACTTCCCGACGATAATGACATTCTCTCTCGTCATGTTAAATAATTCCAGCGTACAAAGAGTCTGAAAAAAAAAAGTGATCAGTAAAGTAAATGGTGGCGCTTTTTGTGGTCGGGAAATGTCAGGTTGGGTTTTTAAAGGGTGTAATAAAGAGGTGGAACGAGTCTTACTCCGTTGACGGCCTCTTCTTTGATAAAGTTTTGCAAAACTCGGACAACATCTTGAACGACAACTCTGGTTTGATTTATATTAAGTTTCCTTTCATCAACTTCGCTATATCCAAGAAATAGAAAAACTCCTTGCGGTAAGTTGTAATCGCTAGGGGATGGTTTCATACAAATAAAACGTCCAGAGTAACACAAACACCTCCCTCGGAAAGCTTGGTAGGCGGGTGCAGCGTGGTTATAGTATGCGAACTCTGTTTTGCAAGGCATTCGATCTATACAAATGGTTTTGCAGGATAACTTTTCCCCTATTTCACATTCGCAAACGTCCGAACATTCGAATTCATCTTCGTGATATATCTGAAAGAACAAACAGTTAGGAGATATTAAGCGCCTGCAACAATAGAACGTTCTTCGGATTTACATTCTACAGAGGTTCTGCCGAGTTGGGATTTGCATTCGCAAATCGATTAATTGAATAATCGGTCCTGTGCTAACAAATTCCGCTTCTTCATTTTCAAACACATTGAAACTAAGCGTTATTGTGAGAGAAATCACTCGATTTGGCAAATCCGAGAGCGTGTTCGCTCACATCACGCTAAAATTACTTTAAAATCCACAACGAACGCAACCGACTCTGATCTAACCTGCGCGAGCTGATCAATACGACTGTTGCATTGTGAGAATTTTCCGTAAGTGTGGAATTCCACGTGTCGCATTGACGGAGCGATTTTTCGATTAACCGGTCGTTGGGTGTGCAGAGCAGCGGAATAACGAAGTGCGTCTTTGGGAGATCGGTTAATTAGAGTGGGTGGGTTATTCACGGTACTTTTCCGGGCGAGGTGAAGTGCACGTGCACAGTCTGAATGCTTACCCTTTTAAATGAACCTTCTTTTATATATTGGTTGGGAAATTGTGGCCTCGGGAACACACAGTACTCTGGAAACAAAAGTCGTTTAGAATGGCACACGTACGTGTGCGGAAGCATTGCAGCAGCCTCGTTATATTAATTGGATGCGATATAATTAAACGAAATTAATTACTTGGAGGAATTGTCGTCGTTGCCATCGCCGTCGTGGTGGTGGTGGCCGCGGTGGTGGTAGTCGTGGTGGTGGAGGTGGGGATGAACGGCTGCGGGGGCGGAATGAATTCGGCGATTGTGTTTTCGCGCGTCTGGAGCGGCGCCTCGGTGGCGGTCATCACGGTGATATGATGAATGGCGAAGCTGGGCCGAGTTCGGACTTCCAAAGGTGTCGTCGCTTTGGTAGTCGAAGGGGTTGTGAGTGCAGCCATTTCGGCCGCCTTTTTCATATGAAAATCCTTTTGAGATTCCACTAAAAGGAGCAACATGCGGTTCAGAGAAGGGCGATAAGTCCACAAGTCGCGGGCGGAATATTAACAAAAGGGGATTTTTTCAAACTGTTAATCTAACAAGAGCACATTCTTCGCCTGCCGTCACACGAATTTAGAACGAATTTACTTCGGAATTTCAACGCTTTGTCTTCAGGTGAAGCCAAACCGGCCATTTCCGAGCGTAAAAACTGCACAGTAGGTGCAAAATGACACTGACGTCATCACGATACAATTCTAAATTCAGACCCCGCGCGCTCGTTTTTATGAGAGTTAACGCAATAATGTGCGATTTAGATGTCGTGCCAGCACCTACCTACGCAGGGATTGACCCAGAGGAGTCTTTGCCAGCCTAAACACTCATACAGTTCAGTCATATCTGTCCCCTTGCAGGCACAAGTGGCCCTAAGGTTTGTACCCAAAATACCCAACATGGCCGTCCTACAATCCGCAGGTGAACCAGCACACTTTTTCGTAACGCTGTCAACTGCACACGATTGTTCGTAATATTCTAAACGGGATCTGTAAAAGATAACGCGCATAGTGTGATTGAGCCCGCATTTTGTAATTTCGTTAATTCTTTACCTGCATTCTTTATTCTCGCGACAGCTTTTGGCCAACGAGAGACAAGTGGGCTGTGGCGAACCTTCAATTCTCTGGGCACAAACTGGGTGCAGTTTTTCTTGTGCTATTAAACATTTGTCTTGCTTATTGTCTGTTTTTCTAAAACATAAGCCATTTTAAGGTGAAAATCTAGAAAATGTAGTATAGTAGAAGACTCGTCAAATTTTGACTTGTATGTAGTGTAGTTGCGACATGGCATGTTTTGATGTACCTGTAAATAGTGTTAAATGTTTATACTTACGGTTGTGGTGTGTTTTAGGCAGGATGGGACGATTAGTAAAATGTTATGTTTGTACACAATGTTTCAAAAGGACGGAACGCCATAGTTTTAAATTAGGTATATTTATTTATATTGGCATTTAACAAACGATATACATGCATATGTACATATATTATTTAGTGCAAATACTTGTTGTCATTATTAGTGTAGAAACCGGTTCCATTCCTTTGAAACACCGTGTACGGAGCATTATAATAACAAAGTTTTCGGTTACTGTTGGGTGTAATTGAGTAAAATTTCCCATGTTTTCAATGTTCGCTCTGGCAACTTCTTAGTTTCAATAAAGCTTGCAAAATTGAGAACTACAGAATCCATATTTTCAGTTAGCTCCTCAATATTCATCATTTATTACTTGGGCATGCGAAAAACGGAAAATTCTCTCCCGTAAACAACATCTTTGAATTGTTTTACTTAATCATATCTTTTTGCAGCTGCCTTCGTCTCAAGAAACTCTCATTAATAAAATATAGTGAATCAAGTCCGCCTGAATTGTGAACACTCCATTTGCAAGCTAACGGTTTTAAAATATTTTGCAGGTACACACACTAACAAACTCCTTGGATAAAAGCGAGCCGAGTGAAATCCGTGAAAAAGGACCAGTGAAAATTTTGCTTCTTCTTTTTAATAAAAATTCGACATGGGAGAAAATTTGTCCAATTTATTGACAACATTCAGTTATTTTTCAGCAGCTTCCGCACTTTAAGTGAAAGCCTGAAATCTTCGCGTATGGTGGCGTTAAGAGGTTATATGGCAACGTCTAGTGCAAATTAAATCTGTTACTAGCAGCAGTAGTGGGCGATGAAATTCCGGCTTCTAAACACTGAAACGGGGCTGCGTATGTATTTATCGGTTGGTTGTTGCTACCTAACAAATTAGCGTTATCGATTTTATTATAGTTCGAGTTGTCGAAATAGCATATATACATATAACGCCTGTCAAAAAAAAAAAAAAAATTGGTTAGGTTTTTGTTCATTTTTAGTAAGAACGAAGCGCCATTTTAAGAACAGTAGGGGTTTTTTTGAAAAGACGGCGAGATTAGGACGTGAGCGAGTTTTGAGTTGTGGTGTCATGGCGACGCACGTCGAGGTCGAGCGAAATAGTCGTCTCGACGGAGAGCTAATTGTAGGGATCCGTGTCTTCTACTATATTATAGACGAGCCAGTGTTATTGGGTAGGGTGAAGTGTCGAGGCTGATATGGTTGGCTGATATCAGAATGTCGTAGTTATGAGATTAGGTGTTTATGTGGAAAGTATCGTTTGTTTGGGGTCGTTAATTAATTCGTGTTTTAACTGTGTGGTGTAGAGTAGTAGACCTTGGGCAACGTAATGAAACAAAGCGTACTTGCAAAGACAAAAGGCGATTTCGACGTTCCAAGGGAGCGAGGGTTTCCTGTAAAAACTCTGCAGAGCTTCCATGCAGGAGTTTCTGTTGCACCTGGATATGTCGCAGTGATGTAATATGGGGTTGAGCGAGACTTTGCAGTGGTAGTTGCCGTTGCAGCTCTCCATGGCTAAGTGGCAGGTGCTTTGAAATATTATCTTTGCTACCTCGTTCGAGTCTGAACGGCTATGGTCAGTCGAACCTGAAAGGAGCCCTATTCACTGAGGGTCGTTCAGAAGGGGTGTGTTTGTCTGACACTCAAATTTGTCGATTTCGATTTACTTTATTTGTCTTGGCTCTTAATGTACAGATGCACGGCATGCTCGGCGGCAAAGTAAATCGTAAAGTGACGACGACGATGTTTTGTTGATTGAATGATAATTGCACGACGGTCCTGGAGAGGACTTGAAAAATTTAGTGGGACGAAATTGAAATTTCAATTAATAATTAGTGGGAGCGGTCGAGCAATATACGAAAAATGACATGCCGAGATGGATTGGCGGAGGTCCGGGGCCGGTGCATCAAAGGGATAAGTTTACCAGTAGTAGATCATTCTGCACAAGTCGAGCGCATGAGATATAATGTAATGTATATATAATATATATAAAGTAATAATACGTGCGATCCCCAAACAAGAGACCATGCAGATGGTTCTACGTGCCGGGGTACGAAGTGCATCAAACATGTGCACGACTTCTATTGAATTTCAAGAATCTGGCTAAAGGCTTACTGAACTCGCATGCACTCTGCACTAGGCCGAACGGACGCGACGCAGGACGAAGGACCCAGGTTACACACGGACTTTTCCCACACTACCAAAGTTCGAGGCAATGTGCACCTTCGCATTAAGCCGTTCGCAATGATGCTCCTGTTGAAGAAGGAAGGGCTGTCGCGTTTTTGGTACAGTCGGTTGGATATAGCATCATTATGAAAAGCGTAATGGTAGACATTACATACAACCCAGGTGTGGTGGAGTGAGCCTGGCCGCCGCCGCCTGCCCGGTCGACCCGCGTGTCCCTCGAACGCCCCGACGACCGGACTGGCCAAACTCCGGGGTTCCACCAAGAGCTCGTCGTGCAGCCCCGGAGTCGCGGCGCTCGTATACCTACTTGGGTATTTCTGGTGCTGAGCGGAAACTCCGGCACCGCCTGCAGACCCGTCGAGATCCTCCGGGTACGGACTGATGTTAGAGCTCACCGACGGTTTCCCATTGTTCCTTAAGACACTCACACTGATGTGATTGTGGTCAGCGTGCGCGTCCAGTCCGTTGGCCGCGTCTACTAGCGGGTTTTCGACAATGGCATTGCCTAGCCCGTAGTCAAATGAGGCAGACGTATTGTCCGAAGCTGAAATCAGCTTAACTGAAATGAAGTCCACCGATCTGACGCTACGCTAACAAGGCGAAAGACACAACCAAGGAAACATTATACTGTACAGAAGTAGTAACTTGTAGAGAAAGCGCTCTCACCCGGAACGACGAGCTCTGGAAACTGTAAGGAGGTGACGAGCGTCTCTTCTACGGACGAGTGAGAGCCAAAGGCCGTGCTGTTGGTGCCGGTGCCTGTGGCCGTGCCCGTGCCCGTGCCCGTGCCCATGCCAGTGAATGTGCCGGTGTTGCTGTGCGTGCGGAAAGTGCCGTGGGCTGTGCCGTGCGATGAAGATGGGAACAAAAAGTAAGGGTAAAGGTTGGTAGGTGGTGACCAGAAATTCCTAATAAAGTCTTGATCGGGGTCTAGAGGGGGTTGTGCGGGTTCAGGTTGTTCAGGAATAGGTGGAAGAATGTCTGAAACAAAGTAAATAAAGAAAAGAAGAGTCACCGGACGGTGGGATTCAGAGGTGGTTGTTTGTAATGGAATATAATACAGACATCGACATGCTCTTGTGCTACTTGACCAAATTCGGCTCAAAATTCCGGAACAAGTGCAAGAGGAAACCCACTTCCACATGCAATAACAAACAATCGAATTTCGAACGAGGACGACTTTCTCCCTGACATTCCACCTCCAAGCAATAGACCTTCTTTCATTCTATCGCCACGGTATCATTCACTCCTTAACGTGGAATTAAATCAACGTTCTCTGTGATCGTGCAGGCACATCGGATTAAAGGATTGGAAGAAACTGATCAGATTGTAGGGTCAGAATCAAAGGGATATATAGCAGCCGCACAAGATGGTCGGAGGAGGATCGGAAGGCCTACTTACCCACGCAGGGGTTGTGGTTTACCATGCTGAAAATTCGATCGCATCGCTTCTTGTTATGGTTATTCGGACATATGCAGCCGAACATAGGCGACCGACGCAAATTCGTCCATGACTTGTGACACAGATCTCTGGAAGACGGAAAACGTTTCATTCCGCGAAAACGACCCGAGGATTAGAGACCACTACTCCTCCACTCTCTCTCCCCCCGACCGCTAACTCACTCACCTATCGTCCATGCGACATTTGTTATCTCGCACCTTGCAGTTGGATTTGAAATCCTCGTACAGTTTTAGACATTTGCCTTCTTGTTGGCATACGGATAAGGCGTAATTGCAAGTCGGCAAAGCGTCCACGGGGTAAGGATCTTTCTCTAAAATGAACCACAAAATTACTACTTTCTGTCTATCTATATATCCATCTATCTGTTATGATATCGCCGCTACCGTGAAAACCGGCTAAGAGTTTTAGGACTTAATTGCGTTTCTCTCTCCTCAATCGCGACGCCCGATAAAGCAATCAAACAAGTCGAACTAAAAAAGGAAGTACTAAAAGTTCGGCTCGCGGCGAAGAACGCGTTGGACCGACAATCACGAACGGAAGTGGAAAACAACGAAAACATACGTTTCAACAAGACGGCCAATTGCCTATTTCAATGCGACCGGACGATATTTATGGCTGAGGTTCTCGCCGGGATAGTCCAAACTACAAATTAAACGCGATCTGTAATATGTGCCCATTCTTCAATCCGGACGTCGGCGTTACGTTTAACGAACGGAACTAAAACAATTCTCGACCGTCCAAGCACAAGCATCATATTAGACCGAATACATCAAAACGATACCGATCGCGAAGACTTGCGAAGGCTCGGGAAAAGCACAAAGTATAAATCAGGACCTTCCTTATCTCCTAGCTCTAATCGATATACGCGACTGTCTAAAGAGAGATCTGTCAATAACAGGCCCGGTGATGGTGCAAGAACTAATCAAACAACTAATTTTTATTTTAATGTTTCAACAATCTGACGACTTTGCATTATACACACACACATAATATACATAATATGTATATAATTAGCCGGCACTCGCGTCACCGTATCTCATAGCCGTATCAATTAATGGAATTTCAAATTAAACGCGAAAATTTATTCCGCATGCTGCTCTATAATTTGTTTTGCGTGAAGTTGACTATCTGACTAAAAGGAGTTTTATTTTTTTATTCGCTTTCTCTACGTGAGTGACTAGTAGAAAATGAGGAGAAAAGCTCTCGCCAATGTGAGATACTTTTCAAAACGACTCCTAAAATTCCACAAAGTGCACCGCGCGGATAGAAAGAATTAGATGTCTCGGCGAATAAAATGCGAAAATGCGGAAATGAGCGGGCACCAGAGTGGCTTCCGATCTGTTGTTCCAAGCGAAAAATCCATTTGCACTCTTGAACTAGTTCTAAATAATTACTAGCTTTAATGCGCGTCCGGTTTTCGCAAACAGAGAAATAGTTTAATTCTGTGCCGTCGCCTGTGGACATCCGTTTTAAATAATCAGCGTTCGAGAGAGATCCTCGTCGTCGTCGTTGTTGTCGTCGACACAACGAAATTTCCAAATTAGCTTCGTTAATTTCAATAAAACAAATTCCTGAAGTGTGAAATATGATCACAATTTTTCTCTCGTCGCCAAGAAATATGACTTCTCGCGTGGTATTTTTCAGAGTTAGTTTTAATAGATATTCTCCGGGCGGTAGATTTTCGTGAGCGGACTTTAAAATTAATGGAAAATAGTGGAAACTCATTCAGGTGTCTAGATTTAGTTAAATCCGGCACATTGTCCCTTTTGATTAGAGTGACCGGAAGCTACAACCCTATGAGTGCGCGTTGGAAGAGGAAAAACTTTATGTCCTCAGCCGCGCTCTCCTTCTGCCCTATCGTTTTCAGCCTCATTTCCGTTCGTTACGTCAAAATTTTACGACGAAGGTAATACATATTTTCAAATTTTATTATTAGATTACTCGCCGGTTGAAAATTTCGAGGGGCCTACATATCTTGAGAAGAACCTACTTTAAGGCGGTTCATAAACTTGCCATACCGGCTAACACGAATTCGACATCAAGATGCCTCCGTAAAATGCACCCCTTTATCGCTGCATCCCTCGCTGGACCCTGAAACGTCTAAAGTGGCCATGGGGAAATTTTAATCAACTCGTTTGTTATTTTTCGCATTTCAACTTTTCCGCTCTTCTGGATCAAGCATTTACCGAAAACAACGAAAAACTCCCGATTAATTTATAATCACAAAGTTTTGCATTTATAACGAACTTTGGATTCCCCCGCATTAGCGCTCATTAACGCGTTCTAATTTTTGTCGAGAATGGGAGCTTCTACATTCATATTTGATCAGTAAAACATGAAATGTAAACACTCGATTGATTGACTTTATTTGTTGTTTCACTTATTCATACCGAAATGTTTGTCTCTGTATATGATATCCGAGTGGTGAAATATTGACACATTAATATTTTCTTACGGAGGAAATTTACCTTTTTTTGTGACGAATATACAAGGGTGATCGAAGAGAAAGTCCCTGAAGGAGTTGCACTCTGGATCTGCGTGAGGTTCTCGACACAGACATGTTGGCTTGAAGAATGGAAAAGCTTGAAGAGTGCGAAGAGCTGCCTGGCATTTCGTTACAGTCACTGTTGAGCACGCCACTGAAAAAAAGTTTCAAACTCTTAAAACATTTACGGCTTTAACAGACTTTCGAATTTACAAAACATCACTACAACCTATCGTCTGACAGCCGTTCTGAATAATAGAGCAGGGATTATTTAACTTTCTGTTTTATTTTATATTCAACAACTCTAAAAATTTCATGCCGAATAAGAAGCTTTCTTTCATTTTCCCACACCGAACCAGATTTTCACCGTACCCCACTCTACCAACTAATCTTAGTTTTAATACTCCGGAAAATTCTCTTCTGTGTTTACACTCCAAAAGTGTGCAACTTGAGACGTAAAGACGTATGCACGGAACGTAACTAATTCAAAAGAAACCAACCCTAGCATAGAACTTTTTATTAACAAGTTATTGTTGCAGTTTCCACCATTGTGACCACAAACTTCAATAAAGTTGTTTTCGTTCCAACTAGAAACGTCGTTAATAATAGATTAAAATAAACTGTCGCATTATAAGTCAAAAAGTATTCACTCGGCGTCACTCCAAATTCGACAAAAAACACTCAAAATCGCAATTAACATTTTATTACACCGCGACCCACGACAATGACGTCACCAGTCAATTAGAACCGGTACGTCAATACTAAAAACAAAAGACTATTAATAAATTATTGTTGCAGTTTACACCCCTGTGACGTCAAACTTTGTATAAAATTGTTTCAGTCCAACTACTTATAAATAATACATGAAGATAAATCGTCGAAAAATTTCTGGACACCGAACAGCAAGTCCGAATCAAAACAAAAAACAAAAATCAAGTATTCACTCAGCGTAATACCCCAACCGACAATTCAAGTTGCACGCGAACGATCGAACCCCCACTCATTCCACTCTGGTGGTCCAAATCAACAAAAACAGCCGAGATCGTAATTAACATTTCAAAACAGCACGACCCACGACAATGACGTAGCCAGTCAATTACGTCAATACCAGAAACGAATGAATGCGGATAAATACCACTAGATCCACGATGGAGTAAAAGTAATCGTCAATTTCGCGTCGTTTTTCCGAGATAATTCTATTTGTGAGGCGCATAATGAAATTTTCCCGTTAAAGTGTGCAATAGCGCATTAATTATGATTGAAGCTGCCATTAAATTATCTGTAACGTAAGCGTCCGTGTCGTGTCTGAGCACCAACAGAGCGATTTGCATAGATCTTGCTTGTACGACCTTACAACCCTTACTCAACATTTGCATCCTTAGCTCACATTAATAACGGTAACGTGTACCTGAGCGCAGCGTAATTGGTGTCATTACATATTCTTATTTAACGGTAGTTGCTTTCTTCTTAAAACTTTGTTTCGTAGATGAAGTGAGTTTTTGTTTGTAAGTTGGTAAAATTAAAAAAATGATTGGATTCCGGTCGGGACATGAAGTCGATAAGCGACTGGGCAAGCCAATCGCTGTCTATCTCGTCGTTTTTGGAAAAAAATGTGGTAAGAATCGGAAATGGGCTCGCTTGTATCGCGTTGTTCCATCGACCCTCACTACACGCTTGATTTAAAATAATGTCCCTCGTATGCTATAAGTAAGCGGATGAAAATTTCTTGTGTTAAATTTAAATTGGTCAGATAGAGATGATCGATAAACGCTGGGGAAACAAGGGCCGTATCGTTTATTCTTGTCAAATAATGAAATTTTCAATTCGGTTATCTCTAAACCGGATCTACATAATAAACATAAAACAGGTTAACGTGTATTTAGGGGTTCTAGGCCAGGTCAGTATCGGAAATGAGTAAAACAGAAATAGCGCGGCGCATCCACCAATTTGTATGGCCTGTCTACTGTAATTCCGTTACTAAAGCTCAGTTAACATCGGTCAAATAAATTGGTAGATAAATACGAACTGAGTCCACTAAATGTTAGCACTTTCAGTATCACTAAAGCCGTCAGGTGAAACTAGCCAACTAGCCTTTCATGTGTTGATGGACTGATGTTTAATTAGGCGAGATATACAGAAAACTATCTGTTAACGATCGAATAAATTCATCCACGGAACCCCAGATGTTCTCAAATTGAATTTAAAAGAGTAAAACAGCGACACGTTGAATAAGTAATTTTGTTTTAGTTTCGATAATCGTGAACCGCAGCTGTGCAACGATTCAAACTTTTAGGCGCAATTTTATTGATTCAGAGTTAAGTTCGACTAACACCGGCCTAAGTTAACTTACCTATTCATAAGACATAAGCTGCTTTAATTACTTTTTCGGTTTCACGCAATTTCCTCCAGCCAAAACGAGGTCTGCCGAAGCGTTGTTACGTGTGTCCGACACACACATGCAGAAAATACCATTTTAAAAATAGCACAAAGTTCAAAGCAATGGGATGTCAAGTTCGGAAACAATATAGGTAAAAATACAAAGTAGTGCTCTACAAAGGCACTGTTGTTGATACGTTCATTCCACTGCCGTGTCGCCCAATATTGTAAATTCACTTTAATTCAAATACAACGAATTTGAATTGTCGAAATTGCCATAATGGAAATTTTCAGTAAACAAGTCACTACTCTATTTTCAAACGTCAAAAAATAAGTGTGAAAATTTTTGAAAAAAAAATTAATCCTGGAACTGCTTTGAGCCTGAGGTGTTAAAAATCGTTAGACCGACTTCAAAGTTAGTGTGGAGAATGTATTTAACGGCACGATAGAAATGCGAACTTCCTTGGAACGATCGTTAATAATCAACCTTGAAACTATGGTGGGCGCGGAGCGTTAAATCTAGTTCGATGGACTTAGAACTTAATGCATATAACGTACTTAACTTTAGAGTGACCTACAAAAGCTCGAACTTCCTAGGAGTAGCCGTTAAGACCAACACTAGAACTACCGTAAATCCAGAAAATTAAAAATAGTCTGATCCAGTTGCATTTAGTACGCCTGATGCAATTAATATTGAAACAATACACAGAAAGTTTGAGCTTTCCAAAAGTAACAGTTGAAAATCAAATTTAAAACTGTAGCAGGTGTGGAAAGTTAAAAATAATCCGATCGACTTTAAACTTCGTTCACAGCGTACTTGTTGTTACGATGATGTAATGAAACTGTCACGAGTGCGGTAAATTTAGTAATTTGATGTTTTTTTGAAGAGACTTTAAAAATTACTTGGGTATGAAACGTTAAAAAATAGCCGGGTTGCTTTGTAGAGTTGGCTTAGATCCTCAACGTCAGTTTGACACATCGTAGTTAATTGTAGTATGGTTTGATTTTAGTTTGTTTATTAATTGCTGTTTTCACCCGTTATCATCCTTCATTACGTAATTACGGCGTTGTAAGTGAGTTATAGCATCAAACGGAACAACAGTCTTGCCCAAGGCTATTTCAAGCGTGAGGTATTCTTCAGGGTTCATCGGTACCCCAACCTGAAGTCCAGAAAACGGCTTCGATAGCGCATAGTCAACATATTTATTTGTACTAGAAATGTAAATAAAGTAAAATCAAGTGGAAGAACTCCAGTACCTTACTATCTACAAGAAATCCAACTTCCTGGAGGCGAGAAGTGACACTTTTTAAAATTATTTATATGCCCCTTGTTTGTATGCAACCAAATAAACACATAAATTAATCATCGAATAAAGTAAACCACGTAGGCGGCAAATTTCACAACCCACTACGATGTAAGAAACCGTTATAACAACATGTATTTAAGGTTAGGGTGTGATGATTGCAAAGAATCATAAAAAAATGGGGAACGCGTGGCGAATTGTATGAAAATAAAGTGAATAAAAGTGTGGGTTTATTCGCTGGTAAATAAAAATAGAAATGTGAGAAATGTTATTGTAAGATTCGAGGCAGCAAATGAGGGAGAGTGTAAAAATCGAGAGAAAGAGTGTCTCGGCAGTGGAAAAAGGCGTTGTTAAAAATAAATTTTGATCATATTCGGTTTATTTCAACAACGCTTCGTTTTGTGGAACGTATCGAATTCTTTGAAAACGTCAGAAATAAAGAGCTATAAAGATCCACACATCCATTTTAAAATGCTAAGCGTAATTTGTCGGCGGAAGCAGAATCAGGTCTTAAGCAGAGCAAATCCGCACCGTCGTTGTTTATTTATGAAAAAGTTTTGTTGCGAGGGTGCGTTCCCTATTGGGCTTGCAGTCAAAAAGCGACAAAATCTGAATTATTCCCTCCCTTCAAATGGAATTTTTGATCTTAGAAGATGATCCTCGCGGAGCGGCGATTCGTGACCCATAGGGCGGATTGAGACGTCGCGCCGGGGTTCCGTGTGCGGGGTAATTAGGGAGGGTCGGTCAAGTGCGGCGTCCTTGCATTTGAATGATGGCGCGTTCGATTTTGCGATCGAGTTAATAGCATTAGAGTTGTTTATCGTTTCGGTCAATTCGCTTATCAGCGGCGGCGGCGAGATTAGCGGGAGTGCGGCGCGATAAGCACGTGTGGCGGCGAGCGGAAGAAGTGGAGAAAGTGGAGAGTCGTGGTGGAGAGCGCGCAAGTGGTGAGTCATCGTGGAGACACCGAGGGCGAACTATTTAGACAATGGGGTGAAGTGGATAGAGGCGGAGGCGACACGCTCAAGCCGCTAGAACAGTGCAGGCCAGAACGCTTTTATAAATTATTCAAGGTGCTGTATTGATCCGGGGCTCCTTGCGCGCCTCCCCGTGTGTGTATTTCCACTCGGATATCTTTGATCCGCGCTCATGCCGCGGTCCTCTTCTTCCCTGACCTACGCGAACCTTCCGCACTTGCACCTTATAATCCGAATCGAATCGCGCGCTTTTTGCGACCACCAACACCGCCAGACATCAACCCGGCAGACGATCGCTAGACCCTGTCAAGATAAACTAACCTTAAAATTTGTTGTGCCGTCATTTTTGAGTTTATCGTGGACGTACTAGGACCAGCCGGTTTGTAGCAGGCTGGGAATTCACGAACACCCGTGAGTCCTGCACGAGCCGCCCATGAATCAATGCGATGGACATCCGGAGAAGCAGGACAAAGAGGGATTGAAAGTGGGGGGAGTGG